AGAAAAGTGAGTAAACCCTTTTTGGCCCCGTTTACACTAATGCGTTTTAGTTTAAAAACGCATAAGTTTTGCTACGGTTACACCATCCGTCCACACTACGCCAGAGTTGAAGAAAAAAAAAAAAGCTGAAGAGGCCGTTTTCATTCTAAAACGCTGCTGCTCTGTCTCAGTGTGGATGGGGCAAAACGAAGGCGGGGCTGCCAACATTCGCCTTTATGATTGGGGCTTTTCCTCAATATTAAGTAGCCTACACACAGTCAAAGTTCTGCATCCTCTCCTTGTAAGTTCAGACTTCGCAAGTTTGATATGGAAAACAAACTCCCGAGAACATGTCGGGTACATTTTCAAAGGAAACAGTGTACTGTATAACCTTATTTACATCATCCTGACTACATTGTTACACTTTCTTAAAAATAAAATAAAAACATGAAGGAACTGCTATTTTCATTTTGATACAACTTAACACAGCCGAAATGTTGAGGCCTTGTACTGCATATATGAGCGTCATCTTCACTGTTCGCATAATTATAACAAAACAGAGCCTATAACATAACTACATATATATACATACTACATACATATACATATATATATACCCTCTCTTTTGCTGAATATCAGTTTTAATAATCAATTATGGCCATTATAAAAGTTTAACGTACAATACGTTTATACATTATAGGAAATAAAGGCAAGCAATTACTCAATATACAGAATGTACATGAATTAATTATTATTAGATTAATTATTAATTTATCTCTGCGATCAGCCAAAACATGTTACACGAGAACAAGTAGCCTAATAGATTGAAAAGTCCAAAGTTGGGGAATATGTTGTTAGATATAGACAACAAGATGAATTAAATATCACGTTTAGCAAATATAGTTAGATGAGATCCAGCGGGAGATCCTTGATAAACACTCCGTCTAGCACAGCTCTCATCTGGGTAGTTAGGCTGCAACGCTTGCCAGAGAGTGTGTGTGTGGTCACATGATGTGCTTTTCAACGTTTTGTAGATGAAGAGCTGTTTAGAAACGCTGGGTGAAACACTATTGTGGACGCGGATAGTTTTCATTCTAAAACACCGTTTTAAAACTAAAACGCACTAGTGTAAACGGGGCCTTAAAGTAATTGGTTGATGAAAAGGTGAGCAATGCCATCGATTTAAAAAAATTGTTGACTTTACTTTAAAAGTGAGTGAAGCCATTGCTTTTAGAGCAATTAGTTGAGTTTGCATATAAAAACCTGTTGCTTTTAAAGAGATTAAATGACTTAATTTTTTGAAAAAGTGAATAAACGCTGCTTTTCAAGTGATTAGTTGACTTTCAAAAAGGCAAAGAAACCAGTTCCTTTTAAAGCGATGAGTTGGCTTTACTTAATGGCACCTAGGTTACCCCTTTTTCCTGATTTAATGTAAGTGTTTTGCGTCTCCAGAATATGTCTTTAAAGTTTCAGCTCAAAACATCCATCAGATTTTTTATTATACCTGTTATAAGATTCTATCTTTTACCTTTTTGCATCAGGTAGCAGTTTTGTTGTACTGCGCCTTTAACGCTAGTCATCCCCGCCCACCGTTTCTACGTGGCTCTCTGCGTGCCTTAATCTCCTCCCTCGGCTGTGTCAGACAACAGACAGACTTAAAGGAAGTAGATGTCACATAGCGTTTGTGAGAAATAATACAGTAAAAACTTTACCAAAAAGTATTTTTTGTAGTTGCAACAATGAGTCACACACAATGTCGTTACAATGTTAGAGTGCGTAAGTATGTTTTCCATTGGGGTAAATGAAATCTGGCTTTAGCTCAGGTATTATATATTTGGCAGAGCTGTGACAAACTAAACTTTTGGCTAATGGCTATTTACATTTTTTTTTTAAAGGGAATGAGCTACTCAGTATATCCCGACCTGTCTTCATGTTTCAGTGAAAATTACATCTCACATTGATCAAGATGCCCATTTCAAGGCACTTCAGGGGACCTTTGAGGACCTTTCATTAATGCCTTTTCCCAGACATTTTGGAACAGAACTACACAGACCAGTGTATCATAGCAACAAGTTTGGCAGGAACAAAATTTGAATCTCCCAGTATGCCGGATACACACAACACGGTCACTGCCTACTCACTACATTGCTGACTGATCAGGATCACATTTAGGACGCTTTCAGCACATTTTATATATATATATATATATATATATATATATATATATATATATATATATATATATATATATATAAAGCTGCTCTGAAAGATCCAATGAGCACAGTGGCCTCCATCATCCATAGGTGGAAGATGTTTGGAACCACCAAGGCTCTTTCTAGAGCTGGCCGGCCATCTAAGCTGAGTGACCGTGGAGAAGGGCCTTAGTCAGGGAGGTGATCAATAACACTCTATGGCAGGGGTCTCAAACTCGCGGCCCACGGGCCATTTGCGGCCCTCAGTGCAATATTTTGTGGCCCGCGCCGACCACTGTACACTGACAGAATCAGCGGAGCGGGGAGAGAGACCGCTCCCCGCTCTGCTGATTCTATCCGTACACAGCGGTCACTGGCATTCCCCGCCCACCGTGTAAACAAAGGGGCGGGGATGCCGGTGACTTCACCACGCACCCCGCCCCTTTGTTAAACGCTGTGACGGGCGGGAAGTGTTAGGAGGGAACTCGCGCCGGCCAGAACCAAGGTAAGCTGTTCCCGCCCCTGCCTGCCACTTAGCTACCTATCTGCAGCCTGCCACCTACCTAGCTACAGCCTGCATCTTATATATATTATAGGTAGATACAGACTGGTACAGACTGATGTGACTGGAGTGGGGTGGGGGTGTTTTATTTATACATATATACGCCTTTTTTTTAGGTGAGGGCAGGCACGTGCACACATAGGGCTCAACCTGTGCAGTGCACATGCCCTTTTTAGTCTTGGATAGAAAGTGCCCTTCCAAAATGATCAAAAGTGCCCCCGCGACGCGGCACACCTTCGGTCCCGCCCTTCAGTAGGCGCGCGACAACACAGCTCTTGAGTACGCGCGCGACAACACAGCTGATCAGTACGCGCACGATAACACCGCTCTTCAGTACGCGCGCATCCACTCTGCAGTGGGTGAGGGAATGGAAGTTTTGAGTGAGTTCCCCCAAGCCATACTGAGGGTCTCAACTGCTTGCCGCTCTAAAGCCAAATGTGGTTCAGATTTGTGAGAAGAAGCGCTGTCAAGTCTCTGGCAGCAAGGAGTAGGCAAAAGATGCCATGTTCAGAAGAACTGTTCATAATCTTCACTTAATGTTCTATTAATGTTCAGGACACTTCATGTTCAGAAGAAATAATTAAAACTGTTAATAATAACATTTGAGGACTTTTTTTGTGTGAAATCCCTTATGCGGCCCAGCCTCACCCAGACTATGCCTCCTGCGGCCCCCAGGTAAATTGAGTTTGAGACCCCTGCTCTATGGTCACTCTGTCTGAGCTCTTCTGTGTAGAGAGGAGAACCTTACAGAAGGACAACCATCTGTGCAGCAATCCACCAATCAGGCCTGTATTGTAGAGTGGCCAGATGGAAGCCATTCCCCGCCTGGAATTTGTCAAAAGACATCTAAAGGACTCTTAGACCATAAGAAATAAAATTCTCTGGTCTGATGTGAGTAAAATTGAACTCTTTGGAGTGAATGCCAGGCATTACATTAGAAGAAAACCAGGCACCACTCATAGCCAGGCTAATACCATCCCTACAGTGAAGCATGGTGGTGGCAGCATCATGCTGTGGGAATGTTTTTCAGCAGCAGGAACTGGAAGACTAGTCAGGATAGAGGGAAAGATGAATGCAGAAATGTACAGAGACATCCTGAATGAAAACCTTCCTCAGAGTGCTCTTGACCTCAGACTAGGGTGACGGTTCATCTTCCAGCAGGACAATGACCCAAAGCACACCGCCAAAATATCAACGGAGTGGCTTCACAACAACTCTGTGAATGTACTTAAGTGGCCCAGCCAGAGCCCAGACCTAAATCGTATTGAACATCTCTGGAGATATCTGAAAATGGCTGTACATCGTCACTTCCCATCCAACCTAATAGAGCTTGAGAGATACTGCAAAGAAGAATGGGCAAAAATCTCCAAGGACAGGTGTGCCAAGCTTGTGGCATCATATTCAAAAAGACTTAAGGCTGGAATTGCTGACAAAGGTGCATCAACAAAGTACTGAGCAAAGCCTGTAAATACTGATTTACATGTGATTTTTCAGGTTTTTTATTTTTAATAAATTTGCAACAATTTCAAAAAATCTTTTTTTCACATTGTCATTATGGGGAATTGTGTGTATATGCATAAAGTAGTCTACATTTGAATTGGATCAAAAACTGCTTTCTGATTTATTTATTTATTTATTATTATTATTATTATTTGCATTTCTGCTTGGCAATAATGAGACTGAATTGTTGCAGAAAGTATATTGAATCAAATGTTGAAGCATATGTTATATACCAAGTTGCAAAGGTTTCCAGGTATTATATTTACATTTATCCATATTATATAAATCCATATTAACATTTGAGATATTTTTTTTAAAGACACAACATCTGTTTAAAATAAAATATTACAAACTTCCTATTTTATCATTAAAGTATTTAGTAAAATATATTTAAACTTAAAGTTATTTTAAATTGGAATAATATTTCACAATTTTACTGTTTTTATTGTATTTCCCATTTTGATAAATGCAGCCCTGTTAACAACATATCACTAATAAAACAGCTGTAATGAAGGTTTAACCAAAACATTGTTCTTAAGACAATTTTTTTTTTTTTTAAATAATCAATAGCAATATATCTGAGGGTAAAAATGCACAGCTTTTAAAATATAACTTGAAGATGACAGTGAACGAAATGTGTAGTGAACTTCACAAAAATAAACCTGTCTTGATGCTGAAGAGAAATAGTCTCTTTAAATAGGCTTGTGTCCTGCACTGTAAGATTGATGTTTTAAGGTTTCTGTTCTCGTGTTGGTTTTTTGTGTCAGGATCGGGACCATGACGGCGCTCTGTGTCTGAAGAACAGATCTTCATTTGAGCACCAACATCATCATTTGCTCCACTGTCTGGAAAAGACAACAGTATGTTCATATCCTCTCTTACTGGGCATTAATTAATGAGTGTGTTTTTTTATCTTAAAAATTAAAAACTGCTTTTATTCTAGCCGAAATAAAACAAATAAGACTTTCTCCAGAAGAAAAAATATTATTAGATATACCGTGAAAATATCCTTGCTCTGTTAAACATAATTTGGGAAATATTTGAAAAGATAATAATTTCATTAAAAATTTTGACTTCAGCCGTAAAAGAGTCCATCTAAATGTGTATATCCTGAAGCATATCTTCTTGTGCTTTCCTCCAGAATCATGAGTTCACTGATGAGCTGACATTCAGTGAGATGTGCATGACGGAGTCTGTGGGTTACCGCACCAGCCGCAGCACCTCCATCTCCAGCCAGCAGGGGGTTTCCACGTCCTGCTGCCCGCGCAGAGCCAAGAGAAGAGCCATCCGCCTGGCCAACTCCACTGTATCAGTGAGCCGCGGCAGTGTCCAGGAGCTCGACACACTGCACGTGCACAAGACTACTATCAGACCACAGAGGTACAACAACAACAAGATTTCACTACAAATGCAGATGCGTGTTATGAAATATGTTGTGAAAAGTGCTAAGAGCTAGACTTGACTTTACTTTGCATTAAAAATATTAACATTAGAGTAGCGTAATACACTGTAAATATTGCTGGGTACCACACAAACAATTTGTGTTGGGACAACATGGAGGAATTAAGTTACCTTACTACTTTTCACAACTTTAAGTGGGTTAAACACCCACTTATTTTTTGCAAAAATAAAGGACAAAATATGTTTGCAGTTAACATTAACCAGGTTATAGTCATAAATATTTAAGGTTAAGCCAGCAAATATTGTTGTGTTGACCCTCTCGTTTGTTACTTTCGTCCCTGCTCAAGGGGTCAAAAGTAACGATGTAAAACTTTTGTTTAAAGCAAAGTTATGTTGGCGTTGTTCTACATTAATACAAAATAACACCTGACTTTGAAAGACCACATTTATGAGTTATTAACCACAGCAAATATATATTTCTGCCAAAACCATCATCTTTTAAAATTAAGTTATGAAAAAATGGTATTTTCGTCTTCGCTCTCCCCTAATAATAAATTCTAAAAATATAATATAAAATAATAATTATAATATAATATAATATAAAATTATCACAGTTTTTACATTATAAAATGACATTCTAGTATTTTTTACAATTAAAATTCTATTTTGTTCATTAAAATAAGTTTGAAATTTCAAAACTATTTGATCAATATTGATAATTATGCCTCGGAAACAAGTTGAGACATTTAAATGACTGTAAATAATACTAATAAAAAATATAACAAAATCCAGATGTAAAATAATAAAAACATAAAATATATATAATATATATAAGATAAGATATATATATTTTATATATATATCTTATATATTTTTTCCTATTTCCTCATGTGTTACTGTATTTATTGCTGTATTTATGGACCTACTATTGCATATATGGTATATAGTAGTCGATCATATGAAGTGGATCAAAAACTGCTTTCTAATTTTTTTTTTTTACAAATCAGCACAACAATACTGAGAACGAATTGTTTCAGAAAAAATATTGAAACATGAAAAGCTTAACTTTTATTATAATAACATTTATCCATATTATATTAATCCATATTAACATTATAGATATATTTTAAATAGATGTTGTGCTCAAAATTTGTATTACAGAAAATTCTAATAGTAAAGTATTTTGTAAAATATATTCAAACTCAAAAAAGTCAATTCAAATTGGAATATGTCCAAATATTACCGTAACTCCGTGTGTTTCTGCATCTACAAAACAGCCGCTCCAGTCTGAACGCGCGGACAGAAGACCTGAAGCTAAACTGTGATGACCGGGATTTCACAGCGGCTATAATCAGTATACCAACCCCTCCTGCCAACACCCCTGACGAGAGTCTGCCGCCCTCTCCTGCCATTCCCGGCATCTTACGCAACTCTCGTTCCAGTTCCTTCACCCACGAGACAGTGAAGATCTCCTCCTTATAACCGCCACAAGCACACGAGCATCCCCCTATTATTGCACAACGGAACGGACGTGATGGACTAAGTGCATCTGCTTCATTCCAAATGGACATTTCCACATGGACTCGCATGAGCTGATGTGCGTTTTTTTGTGATCGTCACAGTTTGAACAATTCCAGGGGGGAAAAGACTGCATAAAAAACTCGATCGCATATCGCAAATCAGCAGTTATAGCGGCACTGAAGGCCTTTTACTTTTAAAGATATGCAATGTTTCAACAAGCTGGAATTATGCCTATATGTCCACTGCGAAATACAGTTGCGGGAGAGATTACTTAAAAAAAAAAAAAAAAAAGTGGAAATATTGAACCTGTAGATCTTTGCAGGGAAAAAAAAAAGCTATAACAAC